TAAGTGAGATTACAAACTTGTTAGGGCATGGATGTATCTGTTTATTCAGCCTGTTGGTTGAATAAATAGGAGCTCATTTCTCTGCTGCCCAAATACTTAGAATTTCTCTGAATGACATCTGCAAGGCTGAATGAAATGTTTATAAATCAGCTAGCCTACATCCTGTCTCTTTAACACTGTCTGTGATGATGTCTGTGTTGGGATGAAACAACAGTGACCTTATTAAAGTGTTTGTCTCAAGGAGTGTCAAACAGGATGCAGGAACAGGAGGAGAACAATGTCTTGTTGGAAATTAATGAGGTAAAGTCCTTGAATGAAAAGACATATGCACAACAAGGAAAAGAGATGTGGAGGTTAAATCTTCTTGCATTTCTGTCTCTTATCTCTTCTAATACACTTAAGTTCTTTTGTGCTTCTCTAATCTGATTGAGAATGCCTAATTCCTCTGCAACCTGCGCAGCCACATTCCCGGCCAAATACCGAGGGCAAAATGTTTTAATATATATGTATATTTCTTTAGTAAATTGTGTGACTTCTTTCCTTATCCTGTAATGAGTCTTACTCCTGGAACTGAAGTTTGGATGGTTCAATTTACTAACCAAATCTTGCTCTAAGGAAGATATGGCCAAGTTATCATAGCATTTGACGTAGCCTTGTATAAATGTTCCCTGTTACATATAGTGAACAATTCAGAGCCATTAAACATACTGATAATTCCAGAGTGGTCTAAATGTATTTATACTTATTCCCAATCTGTATAGTTTATTAGATTTTGTGTGGTTCATGTTTTAATTTTTTGTTGTGTTGTATTTTATTTTCAGTATTATTTGGCTGCTATCTGTTCATTTTTTTTCAATACCAGAACTTAGCCTGAAAAATTCCACATTAGACATTAGCATGCACCTTTGAAAAGAAAGTGCATGACAGTCGGAACATGGCAAGCAGAAACCATTTTTCTTTCATATGCATTGGTATATACATTAGCCAATACAGTTTGCATACCCATATAGCCCTCTCCACTACAAATATAAGCACATATACAGTGTGTTCTCAGACAGAATGTCAAAATCCATATCCATTGGCTCGATGCAGTTGTAGACTATTATTACTGTAGATATATGATATGATATGTTATGAAAACCATAATAATAAATATATATTTTTCTGAAAGTACCATGTGGATTAGAGATGTCTTAGCATTTTCAGAATTACAGCAACAGCCAAAGTTTTCACCATTTGTACGCTATGCAGATGTGTTAAAAATGCCATATGCACATTAAACTATTTTTTGAATTAATCTGCATTGATAAGATGAATTTTACCATTCATCATGTAAAGAGATATGATGATACCCATTTGTGTGATCAGTGTAGAACTAAGAAGCAAAAAGATGAAAGATAATACCTGATAGCGTAGAGTTAAATATCAGTTCACTGATTATATGCAGTTATAAAACTCTTTCCCAGTCAGCTAAATGATGCTAGTAAAATATTCCTGGTGTTTGGATGGGCATAACTATGTTTTGTCTAAGCTCAAGCAGGTTCCAGTGGCTGTGGGCTTTAGGTCCTTCCCAGATACTTTCTGTCTTAGTTCTGTTTGGTGTTGCACCCTCTCAGTCAGAATTGGTACACAATTTGGATCTTCACTTGGACTCCAAGCTCCTGCTTGAAAAGGAGATACAACCAAAAAGTCTTTTCATAACTTTATAAAAAGAGTCTTTTGCTTAAGCCAAAAGAATGTTTGCATAACTATTCCTTGGATCAGGAGGTGCTGCTCATGGTTATTCATGTTTTTGTCATCTTCCACTTGAACTTTTGCAATGTATTCTACCATCCTTGAAGATCATCTAGAATCTGTGCTTAGTCCAGAATGCAGAATAGATAGTTATGGTTGCATCCATGGAACATCAGAGTTGCATTGGCTTCTTATTGGTTTCCAGGTGTAACACAAGTTACTGGTCACTACCTAGAAAATTCTTCACAGCACAGAGTGAGAACAGGGACTGCTTATCTTTGATTACATCTGCCTGAATCATGATGTCTAACCAACAAGGCATAAATTGGATTTCTTTATTAATCTAAATTTAATATCATCTAATGGACTCAGAAGGCACGCCTTTACTGATAAAGCTTCTGCCCTTTGGAACAACATAGTCATCTTTTATTTCATTCCCCAATATTTAGATGGCTCTGTTGGTCTTAAATAAAACTTTAAAACTTGGTTTTTATCCACTGGATCATTGAATTCACACTGAATCGGGATATTAGTAACCCTATCTCCTTAATAATTTGTGTTGTTGAAGATCTTGATCTCAATTTGTGCTGTTACATGTTTTGTTTTTAGGTTTTTGTGGAGTTTTTGAGAAGTTATGAAGTTTTTATTTTATGTTGGTCACTCAGAGTTGCAGGTTGGGAAGCCATATACATGGCATAAACAAACAAACAAAATATTAATGTCCTGATTTGGATCTCCGATGCATCCAGATTTAAATTAAGAATATACAGTAAGAAGCATGGATGTCCAACCTTTTGCCTTGCCTGAGCCTCCCTGAGTGAAAAGGAATTGTCTTGGGCCATATATAAAATATATAATATAGCTGATAAACAACAAATGTCCTTTAAAAGTTTACACTCTTGTGGGGCTGCACTACTAACTGTACAAGACTGCATGGGACCTGGAATAAAGTTAAGCTGTTACTATAAATTATTCTGTCAACAATTATTCTATAATCTAGCTTCATGTTTGTCTAAACATTAGGTTAGAATAGCATTATACCATTAGAATAAGTAGTTCTTCCATTCTTCTAATGGTATTTAAAGATGACAAAAAAAACTGTCCTTAACTGGATCCCACTTAAAAAAAACAATTTCACATCTTAAGGCTTCATTGTTTCAATATGATCTAGAAGTCCTATGAAACTCAGTGCAGCTTACATCTCAACATACATGTGAAAAGATTGACCTGTAAGCCCTGCTTGACTGTGTTCTAATCTGAATGTATTTGTGATGACCCAGGGTGTGGCACAAAGGCAACACAGTCAGATAATCAGTAAGAGTCCTTTTATTAGCTCCAATTTTGTCCTGGTTACCTTCTGGCTGGAGAAAAACTCTCCCAGGAACAGCCTTTGGCTGCAGAGAATCAAGTCCAAAACGTGGTCAACAAAAACTGTAACTATAAGTCCAATCAAAATGAGGTAATTAATCTGACAGGGCAGGAGCAAGAATTCTAGACATAAAGGCACAGCAATAACTCAACATGGTTGGGAAGACACCAGGAACACAGATAAGCAAAGTCAACACAAGATAAACTCACATTTGCTCCCAGCAGCTGCTGCATTCAGCATGCATTTCCTTTAACCTCTCATTCCCAGCTGTGGCTAATGAAGGGAATCAGGGCCCTTTCCTCCCTGTAAGTCATGCAACCCACATTGCTCTTTTCTCCATTCCTTCCTGCATGCCCTAGGATGAAGAGGGGGTGGGCCTGGGTCTTCCTCTGAACTCCCTCTCCCTTGTTCTACCTCTTCCCTGCTCTGCCCAGACGGACTTTGCCCTTCCCCAGTTTCCTCCACAGCCAACGGAGCCACATGCCCACTCCCTGTCAGCTGTTTGTCTTCTTCCTCGGACTCAGGCTCTAACAGGGGTATGGCAGTACTTTGGTAACTGATTGTACCCTTAATGACCAAAGCTGTAGCATTTTAACTCATATATAAATTCCTAAAATAAAATGGTAATGTTTTCAGGTTATTGAACAATGTTTTGTCTATGAGCCTGAATGAAAGTTCAGCATGACTTTGTTTAAGAAAGAGATAAAAAGGATGCAGATTGTCAGTGAAGTAAAATAGAAAGCACTTACAAATTCAGCTAAAAAGTAGAGTGATTTTGGCAAGAAGAATTCCTTGTGATTTGAAGGTTGCAATTTTTCAGTAATATTTATGAAGGTTAATTACTTCTCCTTTTTACAAACTATAGATTACCCAAGAATCAGACTGGTGTTCTGGGAATTGGGTCAATAACTATTGCTATCCTCTTCACCCTGCCCAAATATTTTTTCTGCTTAAGGCAAAAGCCAAGATGGCACCATCCACGACCAGCTCTGTTTTCCAAATCAATGCCATTGTCTGCTCTCCTGTATCTGCTGCTTGAGATGGTTGCTTCATTGTGCCTAATGGTTGGGCCAGGTTGTCATAGATATTAATGAACAACTGATACAAAAGTAAAACAAGTCTATTGATTTAGAAAGACAGGAAAGGATAACATTCAAGGTGTGTAATATGTTTTTATGTCTAATTTGGAAGAGGGCACGAAGAAATAATGTATATTCATTAATATTCAGTGAAAGAAAACTTAAAATGGTTTTACCCAATTTTGGAGTTAATTAATAATGCAATTTTAAGACTTTTTTCTTATTGGGCTGATTGTTTGAAAACTATATTTAGATTAGTTGAAATATATACAGACATTAATGGAAATAAAACAGTATTACTGAATGGGAAAAATACATTGGTTTTTTTTAGATTACCACAAGTATATTATCAAAGATAGTATGCCATACTGGGCATCTTTTGTACTAAAGGAAGATTAAATCTTTTGCCCCAATTTTTGCCCTCAGAAATTCTGGTTTTAGAAAGTATTTGCAGACTAATTTGTTGAGGAAATTATTTAATTCCTGAGTCACTTCAGGAACAATGATGTAGCTTTGCCTCTGTTTTATATACTGAGTCCTATAATCCTGCACAGCTTGGAAGAAGCTGGTCTCCTTTTCCAATTAACTGTCAAAGAATTGCATGTGAATACATATATTTTATGCTTTTATCTAAACTGTTAACCTTAGAAGCCATTTTATGTATATTTGACAGTTAAACTAGGAATACTTGTGTCCCCCCTTTTTTTGTAGTATCGATCTTTCTCCATTTATAATTGCTATTGATGGTAAAGAAATGCCCATCCCCCCCTTTCAGAATCTCCCGTAAGATCCTTAAGATCTCCTTCTTTTGCTTGCAGGAGTGCGTTTGGATCGAGTGCGTGGAGGCCGCCAGAAGTACAAAAGAAGACTGGACTCCGAAAGTAGTACTTATCTGAGTTTACAGATTTCCCCTCCAGCCAAAAAACCATGTAGGTGCCAGTTGCACACTCTCCGTATGGATTAAGCCTTCAATTTTCATTGATCTCCTGAAATTTTCATTGAGAGAATCAAATTCTCAATAATTTTAATTATACAGCAATTAAATACCATGGCCTAAATAAGGTCATCTGAGGCTATAGTGTACAAGTCTAAAGCTAAATTAAATGTTAGATAGAAAGCATTTCTACTGACACAATCAACATTTTCTTCCACCTTTTCTTTCTGGATCTCTCAATTCTGTTTTTCACAGGATGGCAGAATAAATTTGGGAGATGTGTCAGGATGAGAGAGCAGAGCTGATTCAATAATGAAGGCCATTCTGACAATAATGTTTGCATGATCATACTTTTCAATTTGAAAATATTTGTATAAATATAAGGAAGACACTGTTATTTCCCAGCTCATGTAGCCATGTAGTGATCAGCCTCCACACAGATATGATGACCTACCATCACTAAGTCTTTTTTTAAGGTGTTTTTTAAACTTGCTACTTTATCAGCTTGTCCATTGCTGATACTCTTTCCCTCAGACAGTTGATAATAATTTTTGAAGTATTTCATGATAGGACATTGAGGTAGTAATGATATTTGATTCTGGAAGCATTTGGCAGACTACAAAAATAGTTCTGATGTTCACACCAAATGGACATTTAGCTTGGTGCTTTTACCTGTATGAGGCATACGCTTTAATTATAGTCCTTCTTCATCATCAATATATTTATATTATTGCTTGTGGATTAATTATCTAGTACCATAGATTAACAGAGTGCTTTTTGTACAATAATTAGACCAGGATTTGGCAAATTATCTCCCTGCAACTATATATGGCTCCAAAACTTTCCTTTTTCCACCCAGAACCTCCTCTGATTGTGATTGATGAAAATCAGTGTGTACATAAAGACAAGAAATTATGATAAGAGGTCTAAAATAACCTTAATATAATTAAAGTCAACATTTAAAAAACCTTGTCCATCCTTAAAATTTCAATCCATATATGAAACATGATACTAGCCACTGTTGGCATCCCTTCTTACCTCCCAATTCTCTCCCTTCTAACTTCCAAATTAATGCTATTCCTGATCATCAAATATTGCTCTTCCCTAATTTAATGCGTCCTCTTAATAATTTCTTGGTTCGTCTTGAAATTATGTACCTACTGAAAATATCCTCAAAAAAATAAGGCCCCTTTGTGATAGGGGCGTTGTCCTCATTAGAGAACCCTAAAGAATCTATGTTGCTTCTGCAGTGTCTGTAATTAATAGATTCAACAAGATCAGAAGAATTATGTTCTGTGTGCATGTACTAACAGAATCTAAGGCACTTCACGTAAAAATTGCTCATATGAATAATTAGAAAAATATATAGAGAGAAGTGAGAAATGAATCATAATTCATTTGTATTTTCTCTCAGACACAGGGTTAAGGGTTATTGGCTCTTTTGTTTTTTATCCTCACTTTATTTCAGGAGAGTTCCATTTCCTTTATAGAAAATATGCACTGATACTGGTATCCTAAGAAAATTCATTTCAATATGATACTGGTTAGTTACAATATTCACCATTTTCAGAAATGGAACTTGATTTATTCTATAAGAATCTTAAAGATATCAGTAATCACCTTAAATTTGTCAAGAGTTACCCTAGAGTAAGATGGGCAGTTAAAATGTTTTATAAATAAATAAACATGATTAAAGATACGTGGGGATCAGGAAAGGGTCACAACTTGGTGGTAGGATATATAGTTTGCCTGCTTAATTTTACAGATTCAGCATGAAGTTTCCATTTTAAAAGGACCCAATATCAGGTGAAGAATTGCCCAGTGAACTGCTGGATCAAGATGAAAAGTACTATATTTCTAATAGATTTCAAGTAGCATATGCAAAACAAATAGAGGAACAAAAAAGTCTTGCTCTCTCTTTTGTAAAGATTTTAATATTTTTTTTTAGTTGCAGGAATTCACCACAAATATATTCTAATTTCTGCTTTGGGATTTTCAGTGACTAAAATAGTCTCCCACTTGCTGGTGGCTGAGCCAGAGAAGATTTATGCTATGCCTGACCCGACCATGCCGGAAAGTGACATCAAAGCATTGACAACGCTCTGTGACTTGGCAGACAGAGAGCTTGTTGTGATCATTGGCTGGGCAAAGCACATCCCAGGTAAGATGAGAGAGCTAAGATGGACACAAAGTGGGGATAAAGTTATTCATGTAAGGGAATTGTAAACTGTAACGGATCTTTTGTCTGCTGAACGGCACAGGAGCAATCCACTCTTCTTCAGCATGTCATGAATAACAAAACATTTCTTTCTGTTGTTGCTTTCAATATGTGGAAGGGGAAACATACATTTTGGACTAAAAAGGAGATCTATGAGTTCCACTTTCTAATGTCACCGGGATGAACAGGAGGTGGAAATGAAACTGTGCAAATATATCTTGTTTATTGTTATTGTGTTGTTTCTGTTTCCTGAGCTAATGCACATAGGGGCTACAGGGAAAATCAATCTTTAGCAAACAAAGGTTACAGGAGGACAGACTGTAGCTTCAATATCCTTTTTGCTTGTAGTATGATTTCCAGCACAATTATTGATTTATTTGTGTAAATTAATGTATCCATAGCTCCTGGCGATTACACTATATATTTAGCTTTGACCTGAAAAATCCAAGTAGATAGAGATTTGGAGAAAGAGGTCAGTCTGTAGATACTGCTTCTCAGCAAATCTTAATCCTGGTAGTGCTCTTCTTGAAGGAGGCCTGTTCTGTTAGGGATTACACTGCTCACTAGTTGGACAATCTGCCAGGACCTGATTCAGCACAAACCGAGTTAGGCTACTGATTAAGGCAACTCAGCCTGAAGACCCCAAGGGCTGAAGAGAATTAATAGAGAGGATAATCATGGGCCAAAGCCTACTAAGGCTTCTGTAAAGCTCACACCAATCATTTCATTTTGATATGTTTTTTCCTGCCTGAGAATTTCTGAGATCATTTCATAATTAACTAGACACTCTATTGCCCAGATGGAGTTTTAGTTGCAGCAATAACACATTTTTAACTGCTGGGGCATATGCTATACGTTGTATGTATCTACCTAAAATATATGGAGCATTTCCCAGATAATATATTCATTGTTTTTCTGGATACAATGTGGACTGCTGTTGTCTTTCTCTGATCCACAGTTGACTGCATCCTTCTTTATTATTTATTAAAGAAGCAAAATGTGCCATTTTGTAAAATGAAGTCCATTATTTGGAAATTGACATGTTATTTAAGAAGTTGATTTCTTGAGTAATTGAATCATTTCTGGATTTCATCTTGCATTTGGGGATATAAATTCTGAGCATATAATTCACTTGCTAGTTCTTTGTTTTTGGCATAGGCACAGGTGAAATAATGAAGATGGCTGTTTTAATGAAATTAATGAAACTGAATTGGAAAACATGTGGATGGTCGTGAGAAGCTGTAGGTACATTTGTCTAGTGGCAGAACCGATCCAAGACTTTAAACAAACACCTACCAAGTCAGTGCATTATAACTCACCCCCCAATAGCATCTGGAGGAGCTAGCAAAGTGGGGAAGGGTGGGGCTGGGAGGATGGAAGTGACGAAACAAATATCACAACAACATGATTCAAAAATGTGAGTGACATACTATGTCAGGTGTCAGAACCCAAGTGCACAATGGTGACTCTTCTTTCATGAGTTCACTGCATGTGTATCATCATTGCAGTTTGCTCTAAGCATCCATATTTGTATTATGATATTTCTAATATGAGATAATACAGTACTTTATACAACATTTATTTAAATTGTATTTTCATTAACAAAATTTAGCAGTCTGACCTGATTTTTCAGTTCAATTATTTGCATTCCCTGTTAATAAAGAATTATATATCCATCAATAATATTTAGTTGAAAGGAAGGGCTCAACTACATGTAATACACATAGTTAATTGCACTTGTGTATTGAGATTTTTTAAACTTGGCATAGTGACACTTTCCTTTTGTTTGCCAACAGACTGAGACATGTGTGTGTATATACAGCACACATTTTAAAGTCTGCATATTTCCAAAACCTGCCTCTAGAAGTTCGTTATTCGAGTGCAAATTCCCTGCAGTATCAAACTATGACAGAGAAAAAAATCTTAAACACCCTTTTCTGAATATATAAAAATACCGTATGTGTTTATGGGGTTTATTAAGTATTATACAGAATTATAGAATGATAGAGGTGGAAGAGATCTCAAGCAGGAGACCTACACCCTATTTCAAACCAATGTCCAATCTCATCTTAAAAACTTCCGGTGATGGAGCACCCACAATTTTTGAAGGCAAACCATTCTACTGATTAATTATTCTCACCAACAGAAAATTTCTCCTTAATTCTAGGTTGGATCTCTCTTTGTTAAGCTTTCATTCATGACATATTGTCCTGCTCTCAGGTGCTTTGGAGAATAGTTTGACTCTCTCCTCTCTGAGTCAGCCCTCAAATACTGGAAGGTTTCTTATCATTTCATCCCTAATCCTTCTCCTCAGTAGACTAGAATTCCCAATTCCCGCAACCATTTATCCTATGGTTCAGCCTCCAGTCCCCTAATCATCTTTATTGCTCTTCTATGCATTATCTCTAGAACTTCAACACCTTGTTGTATAGTGATCAAAACTAGATGCAGTATTCCAAAAGTGATCTCACTAGTGGAGTACAAAGCAGCACTGTCACTTCTCATGATCTTGATATTATCCCTGTGTTGATAGCACTAGGACATTAACTTTTTTGGAGCAGCTGCAGCACACTGCTGGCTCATACTTCAGTGTTTGTAGACTAGGGCTCCTCTCATGTATGTTGCTGGCACCAGGTACCACCTATTCTACACCTGTGCATTTGGTTTTTCTCTTCTCACCACTGAACTGCATTCCATCCCTTCCAGCTTTGCAACTACCCTTTGTATTAATGGCTGGGATGTTGCTTCCACTTCCATGATAAGTCTCTGCAAGTAGAAGAAATGTCTGTTTAGAGGTTGTGATGAGAGGGGCTCTCCCCAGGTACCTATTTTGCTACTACCCTGGCTAAGAAGGTGAAAGCCACACACAGAATGAAATACGGCTAGTGGAATGACAGCAGATGTGTCTATAGTGATCTCAGATGCTATAATTACCTCTCTCTTTATTACAGCTGCTAATGGCCCTCCAGGATGACAGAAATTATAATAAATTAATAGATTATGAACTACTTGCTACAAATTATGCATTTTCTCTCTTTGAAAACTCTGGCTTTCAAATGCTAAAAAAGAATGTAAGGCTATGACTTCATGAATTTAAATACTACAACTGTAATTGAAGAGCTTTGACATTAATCTGGGGGTCCTTCCAAGAGAAGGAGCTCCGGTCCAGAAAAAAACATTAAAAGCTGTTAGGGGAAAAAAAACCACATTTAATCTTGGTCAAATAAGCCAACTTTACAAATCTTTTTACTTTGGTGGTGCAGTGGTTAGAATGCATTACTGCAAGTGACTGCAGGCTGCCTGCACTTTGGCAGTTCAAATCTCACCAAGCTCAAGGTTGACTCAGCCTTCCATCCTTCTGAGGTCAGTAAAATGAGGACCCAGATTGTTGGGGACATTATGTTGACTCTGTAAACCACTTAGAGAGGGCTGTAAAAGCACTGTGAAGTGGTATATAAGTCTGAGTGCTATTGTTACTGCTATTTTTAAAAGTGTTAATGTTATTCCTTTTAAGTAACATTCCAGAAGTTTATTTCCAAATAACAAAGTTCTTATATGAAACTTCTTTAACCGAGGATTAAAGGACACCAGTATAATAAAAGTTGTCCTTCTGTAGATTCTTAATATCCAAAAAGCAATTTACAAGCCATTCCGTGTGAAAAAGATTAAGAAAAGAAATGGTCCAACCTGATGTGTCTTTGAAGATTCTGAACCACAGCTTGGGCAAAATTGATTTTCCTGGTTCCCAGAACAACAGTTTTGAATTCTGTATCTAATTCTGGTCTTTTGTTTCAAATAGTTGTATGAGATGCCTTCGTGATTTTTACAAACCAATCACAGTATAAACAGATATCTACTGTTTTCTTCTATCTTCCATCTTATTGGTGACATTCTGTCACTGAATATGAAAGCCCTATCTTAGGTGTCTTGTCTAAGACTTATTAATAGATCAAATGTTTCTATCATTTTTAAATGATACCAATTTACTGTAATCTTCATAAATTTGATTATCCATGCATGAAATCTTTCTCATCTTTTCTTTTATATGTCTTGAATTTTAAGCTAATGATTCACCTACAATGATCTTCTTTTTAAAACATAATAAATTAGTCAATCGAACCTTTCTTTCTAATAAAAAATGTTCTTATTTAGAATGCTAATCTTTGAAAAAAATAAAGCCCTCAAGTCAAACTTGATTCTTGGTGACTACATTAATGCATTTTCTTGGAAGTGGCATAAGTAATTGGCCATTATACAATACTTTTCTTTCTTGTTTTAATTTCCCAATCCAATCTATAAACCTGGAATTTTGTAGCAGTTCTCCATCTAAGTATTGCACTAAGGGTAAAATTTTTTGGTTTCTAATCTGCCCCCCCAAAATTAATTTTCAGATTGAATCTATGAGCTACTTTAAACATAAAATGATTGCATTTCCAAATGGATTTGGAAAGATATAAACATGGCTTGAAAATTTGAAAGACTTTTGTTTATGGGCAAAACCACATTTTTATGCATCAGTTTGAAAGTCCAAATCAATTCAAAAATTTATGAGTAGATTGATTTTTGAAAATCAAAAGTCCAAATCAAGTTGGTTCAACTTTACAAATGAATTTTGGAATTTGAATCAGATCAAACCTGATTTGCACTATTGAACATGAACTGCAGTAAAGATACATATACAGTAAACTCTTGATTCTCCAGACTTCCATTAAGCATACTCTTGGTGCAATAGCAATTTTTTTTTACTACACTAGACAACATGTGTTGCTTCTGAAGAACTGGACAATTTACATAATATAAGTCATTTGTGTCAATTAATGACATTTGTGTAATTATGAAAATCACATGTTTACATCATCTAAATCACTCTTCCTGATACAAATATACAAATGTCAATTCTGTAATTGGGCAGATGGTATAAATTATGTCAATGATACAGATTT